TGTAAGCGGATCCGAACTTGCATCACTGGGGTACACATCCGCATAAAAAGGCAACCTTAAAATAAAGAAAGAAACAATTTTGCAAATTATTTCACAATTGTTATTAATTCATGAAATCCTATATATCAGCCTTAGCTATTAGCTGATCATCAATTGCCTAGTTTACACCGAGAGGACTAAACGCGGACTGAACTATACTGGGAGCAATCGCAGTTGATTATTCTTGTAAAAATCAACTGCGATTGGTCGCAGTATAGTTCAGTCCGCGTTTAGTCCTCTCGGTGTAACTTAGGCAAAAATCTCGCAGGCTCAAGTTTATGCGCATGCGTCTGGTAAGTTATGCATCTATGGCAGTTTATGAAATTGTGTCCCGCCGAGTGCATTACTGTTGAGGGAAGCCATACGTACACTCTAATGTAACTGCTTTCTAAAGCAATCTGAAACAATCACAATAAGCACGGATTTGGACGAGAAAGATTCGTGGACACCGTAAGTACAATTCTCTAAAATCTATTTTATATTTTGTTAGGCTGATGGCAAAGAGATAAGTACTTAACGAGACGTAAGGCATATTTCTCTTGTCTTTACTTTCATTGCAATGATAAACGAAACAAATGGTTACATCTCGTTGCCCGCTATTAGCCGAAATGAAAGATAAATTATATATATGATTATATGAGTAATCGAAAGTATACATGTAGTATTTTTATAGGTTAAATGGAATAACTGGAAAAAAGGAACTATTGATGTAAGTTGATTTACAATTTGTTGGATACGGTGGATATAAAACTGGATAAAAACAAGGTTACGATATTTTTTATTAATCAAAATATTTACATATATTTATCTATTTCATTAGAAATAGCAGTTTTTATTTTCATATATACATGAACTTTTTACTGTTATCGTACTATGTTTAGCAATAGTGTCTATCAGTATTTCTGTTTTTATTTTTCCTTTTCTTCTATCACCACTATTACTATGTATCTCTTTGTCTTCCTTTTCATATTTTATTGATTGAGCTTCTTTTCTTCCTGCATTCTTTGTTAAGATTATTTTTGCTACACGTGACTATACTTAAATAAATATTTATAAATTACTTAAATAAATATTTATAAATATTTTATTTATTACTATAACAGAATGAAATCATTTCAGCATATAGTGTCTCTGCGTCTCCGACGTAGGTGAAAATTGAAGCATGATATAGGTCTTCGTCAGTATAGGAGAATTAAAAGTGAATTACAAAGAGCTAGGAATCCTAGGTGCAGTAGAAATAATTTTTGTATAGGTACATGTAATGTTTCCAACGGTGCAACTTCGATTAGTACGTCAGTGATTTCTTCGCCGGTTCAATGTAATTTTTCTGGTTCACATTCGGATTCACCTAACGGCTATTCTGCAGCATCTTTATTTGATTCGTTAACTGAAAATTCTTTTTATAATGATTCTTATGACAGAATCCATGTGAATAATAAACAACTTGGGGAAGGATTGTCAGAAAGATACTGTGGTTTGATTGCAGATGTAGATTCTTTCAAAGACCAACTTGCAACTTTCCTTACGAATAATAAATGTCACATGTGCAAGATAATAATTTACTTACCTTATTACGTAGTCATCAATGTTTCTCATATCTTCCAAAAGATATAAGAACACTATTGTGTACTCCAAAGAATTCTGTTAAATTATTCCATGTAGAACCAGGAGAATATTTACATTTAGGTTTTGAATCAGCATTGATTAATAGTCTTCAATCTATTTCTTCTTCAATGATTCCACACAATCTCCAAGTAGATTTTAACACGGATGGTGCTACATTAGACAAATCTGGGAATATCGTTCTTTGGCCAATCCAATGTAAAATTGCAAATATACTTAAGGGGGGAAATCCAATTAGAACTTTCAAAAAATCGAATTTTTTTTTTTTGCATAAAATGTTTATTTAACATTGTAAGAATATGTTCCCAACGTTTTAAATCGAAATTCGCAGCCGTTCGGAAGTTATGGCCTCCGAGCGCAACAAATCTCTTGAGCAGCGTCGAGGCTCTAATAGCACGCAGCAGGTATACTCACCCGGAGCGGGGATTTTACCTTTCAGGGCTGCGATCCAAAACGTATAGAGATGTAATTATAGTTTTACTGTAGGTTTTGGAACGCACCCCTGGTAGATGGCTTTTATTTCTATTGTTACGTTTAGTCGAAACCGTTGGGTCCGTTGGCGCTGGCATCGAGCAGAACCGGTTTTCAGTTTAGCTCCGAAGTTCGGCCTGTACAAAACGACAGTGCAAATTCGAAATGTCCTATCCGAAAGGCACACACGCCGAACCAAAACAATCGAAACCACGCAAAAGAAAGTTCCATGGTAATCAGTTTTCAAATAAAAAGAGTGAAGATGAAGGATGTGAAAGTACGAGTGCAAGAAAACTCTCCAATGCTAGTGCTGAAGATATTCACTGGAATCCATTGCATGGCTATCGTTTGATTGAAATATTCACCGTTTTTACAGCCTTGACAGAGCTCCTTGTTTGTCGTGTTTGTAAACAGAATGTAAAGTTTGAAGAAGCTGGGAATCGAGGCCTCGGTTTCAAGATAGTTTTACTTTGTCGCTGTGGTCAGAGAAACATCAATTCAGGACCACTAATCAACACTGGATACGAAGTGAATCGTCGGATGGTGTTTGTTATGCGACTCTTAGGTGTTGGCAGAGAGGGTATTAATTTATTCTGCAACCTCATGGACATTTGTAAAGGAATGAATGAGAGCACGTATAATAATATCATCACGTATATTCACTCCTGTACAAAATCTGTTTTTGAAAGTCTCTGCAAGAAAGCTATCGAAGAAGAAAAAAAATTCAATGAAGAACATGAGAGGTCTATTTTAGATTTGAAAGTCTCTGGAGATGGCTCGTGGAAAAAACGTGGATTCAAATCGCTGTACGGAGTTGTAACGGTCATAGGCTACTATTCGGGCAAAGTCATCGATTTAGTTATCAAAAGTAGCTATTGCCATGCATGCACATTTTGGAAAAAAAAGGTGAACACTCCAGAATACGAAGAGTGGTATATAAATCACGAGGAAGAGTGTACAAAAAATCACGAGGGCTCAGCCGGAAAAATGGAGGTCGATGCGATTACAGAAATCTTTTTAAGATCAGAGGAAAAGTACGGCGTTAAATATGGTAATTATATTGGAGACGGAGACTCCAAAACTTTCAAGGCCATTCTAGATAAGAATCCTTACGGTGATGAATTTCAAGTTGCAAAAAGCGAATGCATTGGCCACGTAGAGAAAAGAATGGGCACTCGGCTCCGAAATATAAAAAAAACACAAAAACTCGGTGGTAAGGGCAAACTAACGGATGCTTTAATTAAAAAGCTCACAACGTACTATGGTCTGGCAATTAGAAGAAATGCGAATAGTATTGAGGGAATGAAAAAAAGTATTATAGCCACTTATTACCATTTGATCTCTACGGATGAGAAGCCACAGCACGAATACTGCCCGCCCGGCGAAGACAGCTGGTGTAAGTGGCAGAAAGAAAAAGCTATTGAAGCAAATTTGGATTCTTTTGAGCACCCTCCTCCACTCGATCCAACAGTCGCAAAACACATTCTTCCAATTTATGAAGATTTATCTAAGGAAGAATTACTTCAGAGATGCTTGGGCAGTCATACGCAGAATTCAAATGAAAGTTTCAATTCTACGATTTGGCGTTTAGCTCCAAAACATCTTAATTCTGGGCTGAAAATAGTTGAAATTGCATCCTACATCGCTGCTGGAGTCTTCAATGAAGGATATTCTTCCATTCTACAAATTATGATGGAGTTACAAATAATTATTGGGAGCCAGACCAAGCACTATGCTGAGAACGTCGACGGGCGCCGGGTATCTCGACAGGAGCGGCGCAACTCTTTCAACTCTAAAGAAGCTCGAAAGGCCAGAAGAGAGCAGTTATTGGAGCAGAACGAGTTCTTCGAGGAAGCAGAAGGATTGTTCTATGGCGCCGGGATTGCTGACTAAGAGGTAAATTATAGATATCTTGTATCTTTTACTTGTCAAAACTTTAAACACGTTTTTCTCAAAACTGTACTTTTTTGCACTGCTGGAACTCTCATTTAAAAACTATTCAACCGATCGCGCTGAACTTTCGCACACAACTTCATGACATCAGTACAATGTCGGTGAACCTAAATGTTTGTGAAAATTATAATAAAAAATCACTTATTTATTGCAAAAATTGTGCAGAGAAAACGTCAAAAAATGGAAATTTATTTTCATAAGCGTTTCATATTCAAAATTTTTGACTTTTTTCAATTTTTTTAGGTTCAATTACGAATTATGGGTATAAATAATAAGAATTTTTTCGCTGCCTGTTATAGGATCAATATCACGGACGCCATTTGTCCAGCAGCTGAGCAACTCGCACGCGTACCTGCCAAATGGGATGCTTCATATGTCCGCCATTTTTAAATATTTTTGGAAAAAAAAATACGTATGGACAGTCCAAAACATATATAAATAAATGTTTAAGTTTGAAAAATATAGAAAAATTCTTTCTCCTACAAAAAAATTCTTGAAAATAGCTTATTTTTCCTCGTTCTAATTGGATTTCCCCCCTTAATGCGAAACCAGAACTTGTAGGGGTTTATCGAGGACATTACAAACCTTCTAACGCAGTTCAATTTTTTGGCAAATTTGTGGCTGATATTAATTCGGTAATAGGTAACGGTGGCATCTTATATAAAAATATTAAATTCTCTGTCACTTTGCGCTGTTTTATAGCTGATGCTCCAGCTCGTGCGTTTATATTAAATCACAAAAATCACATGGCAACCAATCCTTGCTCAAAGTGTACAATAACAGGTCAATATTATGATGGTCGAATGATTTATACTTCCCTGGACAATATCTCTCGAGCCGATGAGAATTATAAGCTGCAAGTAGACGAAAATCATCATAAAGGCCCTAGTCCTTTATCAGATCTGTCCTTTAATATGGTTTCGCAGGTTCCATTTGAACCTATGCATCTCCTGTATTTAGGAGTAATGAAAAAGTGTTTTGAAGCATGGATCGATGGCAAATTTAGCAAACTCTCAAAACTCCCGGTTCATAGTCTTGAAATTGCATCTTCAAGGCTAGAAACATTAAAACACTATTGTCCACGTGATTTTGCTAAACGCCCTAGAGGACTGCGCGATTATAAGCGTTTTAAAGCAACTGAGAATCGTCAATTCCTTCTCTACACGGGAATTGTTGTCATGTATGGAGTTTTAGATAAAGATGTTTATTTACATTTTGTTCTTCTTCATGCAGCTATTCGCTCTCTCACATACAAAAGATCATCTCAAAATTTTTACTTTGCACATCTTGTTCTACGCACATATGTTGAGAAATGTGAAGCTATTTATGGGATGGCATTTTTTTCGTACAATATTCATGGACTTTTACATGTTGTGGGGGATGCAAAACGTTTTGGTTCATTTGATGCATATTCTGCATTTCCATATGAGAACAACATGTTAATTTTTCGGAAATATTGCAGAAAGCCTGATCTTCCTCTTCAACAAATCGCAAATAGGCGAGTGGAAAAAATCATGCATGTCAATCTCGGGTTATCGACAATGCATCTATTGAAATTGAATTTTTGGGCAGACACAAAACAGAGCCTCTTCCTCGTGAAGTTTCTCATAACAGTTGTCAACAATTTCAGAGGACAAAAATTAATCAATGGTTATTCACTCGACAAATACCAGATAATTGTTGTATCTTACGAGATGCAATAATCTGTGTTATTGAAAATATTTTAACAATACAGACAATCAATTACTTGCTTGTACGCAAATTTCAACATGTTGAAGATTTCTATAATGTGGCTGCACCGTCTTCTTCCGTCGGTGTGTTTAAATGTTGGGAATTGGCTAATGAAACCTGTATTATACTCTTCGAAGAGGTTTCAGCTAAATGCTATCGTATGCCTTTTTGGCGACCTTTTAATAATAATTCTTCCAGTGAAAGTGATAGTAACGATGTATACAATGAGTATATTGTTGCAATTTTATTATAATTTTTCTTTATCTATCAATATAAACAAAATATGGGGAGACAATAATAATGTATAATATACATGTTTTTAAGAATAAAAATATCAAAACAATAGGTCTTATATTTTCTACTTATATATATGAAACATACTATCGGTAATACTGTTTTGTACACATAGTATGAATAGAAAATCGGGATAAAAATAAAGATCTAAATTAAAAATAAATAAAATTGAAAATAGCATATTAGGATAAGAATAATACTACGCGTACATGTAATAGAGTACAATATTCAAATATATATATATATATATATATATATATATATATATATATATATATATATATATATATATATATATATATA